AATGCCATTAGGAGCACTAGAAGGAGCCAGAGGAACCTGATTTTTCCAGCACATATGACAAAAAGTTATTCTTTTATAAAAGTCACCTACTGTAGCTTTAAATATAACTTGGTGTAAAATAGTTTCAAAGTCTAATCCATCAGTTTTGTATTGCACTAAATTTGGGGGCTTGCAGGAGACACATTTTAAAATTTAGATGCCCTTGGATTTTTAATCCCTAGAGTGTGTATAGCTTAAAAAAAACACTGGATCCTACATGTCCCATAATACAACTGAACTGTGTATTAAAGTGCCCATGTCTTTCAAACTTTATGCTCCCAGTTTGTACTAAAAGCTTTCTATTGACAGGACAAGAGTCTGAAGCTGGATTTATAGTCGATGCAAGCGGTTAGTGGAGATGCCCACCATGTTGGATTTCACCAGTGGATCTCCTCCAGGTAATGTTATTTCTTGGTGTCCCCTTACTTAATAGGAGCCATTCATTCATTCATACTGAGTGCTGATTGCAGTGAGCAGAAGGTTTGCAGTGTAATAGCAGTGAGAGTTTTCTACTTCTAAGTAACTTCTTTAATGTTGTCCTCACTCTCAGTAAACTCCACTGGTGTTTATGGGACAACACAAGCGGCCAATCTCTTTTTCTTGTAGTTCCCATATGGTGTCAGACCTGGGGCTGCAGAACTGATCAGGTCACTAGTTTTAAGCCGCTGGTTTGTGTTCAAGCCTTTTAAACCTGCATGAATGAATTTGGTCACTTGGAATGTAGTTAGAAAAAACTACCAACCAAAGATATTAGAAATGTAGATTTAAATGTCCATGCGGTCGCTGTGGGGAGGTCAAGATCCACTAGTTAACAATACTGAGAGATGCAAACTTCACTACAAAATCCACTGTAACTCTTAATTTGGAACCGATTGTTATGAAATTTGGTTTGTTATAAACAGGATATATTTATCCTGATACTGATTACTTATAGGATGCATTCCATCTCTAGGGGCGGATCTAATCAGTCACCACTTAGACAAAATGCTGCAGCCATGTGTGGCGTGTGGATGTACAGAAGAAATATTTAGAACAGGCACTGATAACAGACCAGCACTTTGGCCAAAAAACAGAATGAAAACAATAAGTAAATGTATATTAGTGTGTTTAAAAAAACTGACAAAAGCAAAAATTATTTAAAAAATTAATAAAAATAATTAAAGTGATGTTGCCTGTTCATAGGTGGCTATTCAGAAGTTTTTTTTTGGCATAGAGCTGATTAGTTACTAGTAACTGAATAAATTCCTACAAGTAACCAGCTTTATGTTTCAATTTCTCACGTTTATAACAAACCAAAAT